GAAGCCCAAGATGTGAGGACAGAACCTGCGAGAGGAAAGGCAGGAGAAAAGGCAAGCTGGAATCCTCTCTCCCTCTGGTTTTTCAAGACAGTGTTTTTCTGTGTAGCCCTGGCTGTCCTGAAACTGGCATTTTAGACTAGGCTGTCCTCAAACTCATATAGATCTGCCTGCCTCTGGCTCCTGAGTGCTGGGACTAAAGACATGCGCCACCACTGTGGGCAATAAGTTGGAATCTTGGGATGCCTGGTGAGGAGGCAAATGAAAAGGCCACAACAGATCTGGTGTTCCTTCCCATAAAGAAGGGGGTACGTGCCGGACAGTGGTGGCGTACACCTTTAATCCCAGCACTCAGGAGGCAGAGGCAGGCGGATCTCTGTGAGTTCGAGGCCAGCCTGGTCTACAAGAGCTAGTTCTGGGACGGGCACCAAAGCTACAGAGAAACCCTGTCTCGAAAAAACAAAAACAAAAACAAAAAAAAGAAGAAGAAGGGGGTATGTGACATCTTCAGGTGCAGTGGAATCGTTAGCTGGCCTCCTGGCTATGAGGTTTTATTTCTTCCTCTGCATTTTACTTTTCATCTGTTATATTTGCACATGCTCAGCACACATGAGCTCAGAGGACAACCTTCAGGAAGTCAGTGCTCTCCTTTCACCCTGTGGTTTCCAGGATCAAGGTCTTCAGACTGGTGGTAAGTGCCTTAGCCACTAAGCCATCTCTCGGGCCCCTAGCTGTGAGTTCTTCCAACCTATGACTCTCCGAGGATATGCTCTGTCTACTCGGATGTCCTGGATGTTTTCTTTTCATGGTCACAGAGGTAATATGTATTCATTACAGAAGAATCAAGTAAGCACAGGCTTAAAAAGAAGAGAAAACCCCACTCCACTACTACCACCTCCTGTGTAGCTTGCTGAAGTCTCTCAGAAGCATGTATTTGTAACAGGCGCTTCATGAAGCTGTGTCATACTAATGACTGTTGTTTCTGTTTGCTTGCTTAGAGTCAGGGTCTCACTGTGCAGCCCAGGTTGGTCTTGAGCACACAATCCCACTAATCCCACTGCCTCGGCCTCCTTCGTGCTTTGTGTCCAGGTGTGCCCCACCACACCCAGAGAAACCTACTGGTTTACAAGGTACTTTTACACTATAACAGTCAGCTGTGTCAGCAGACATACGACAGTACCCCTGGGAACTGCAGGGCTGGGGCAGTGTTTGTGAGGCTTGTCTTGCTTTCTGCATGGTGAACTTTGCCTTTCTTTCTCCGTGCTGTCTCCCGCTGTAACTGAGAACTGCCTGGACGTCATGGGCATCAGGCAGGGATGTGATCCTGTCTTTAGTCAAGTGACAGGAGTTGGGAGGAAGGTCATTAGTGTATCTGTGACAAAGTTCCTGGCCACCAAACTTTGACCACATCTATAAAACTCCATCTAGGTGAAATGGCATCTTTCTTTTTTCTGAAGACTACAAAAAGGAAGAGATAGACATCACCGGTTGCCTTGGGTGTGTGGGATGCAGAAAGCTGGTGGGTAGGCAGGCCCAGTCAGCCAGAGCATCGTAGGCCTTCTTCCCTGAGCAGGGCCAGGAAGATGTTGGCTGGGGCTCCTGTGGCACCGGAGACGTAGGTGCTAAGAACATATTCTCCTTTTTAGGTCAGGTGCTCTTTTTAGACGCACAATTTGGAGCTAAGAGGAACATGAGCCTGACAAAATATTAATTCTTGGATTTATTTCTAAGTAACTGTCTCTATCCAGCAGGTCTGATGACAAGGGAAGGGAGGGGGTGCTCTTTTGTTCTATTCCTACCTTCTTGCGTGAATATCCTCTCCCATCTCCACTTGCTGCTATGATTTGATTATATATGGTGTTTTTTATATACCTGAGGGACTCTAATGGGCAATGGGCATTTTTAAAATTGGACCTATAATAAAAATTATATAAAACATTATTGGCTATGCATTCCGTGCTGCTCAGTGCTATACCTTTATAATCTCATTTAATGACACTGGTTGTGGAGGCAGAGGCAGGCAGAGCTCTGTGAGTTCGAGGCCATCCTGGTCTACACAGTTAGATCCTGTTGAAAGCAAACAAAAAGAGAAAAGACTGAAGGAAGGGAGGGAGGAAAGGGAGAAGAAGGGTCTGCAAAACAGGGATTTGAATCCAGTCCCATTGACCCTAGAGCTGTTCCTTACGTGCCTCTGCTTTCTGTGTCAGATGTGTTAAGTCGGGGAAGGACCACCAACAAAATAAACTTAAGCTGGAGAGAATGCTGGTGAAGTACATCTCATGCCTTCTCCATGTTTAATGTCAGCTTAATATCTTCACTAAGAGCGTCTATTATAAAACTATTTGCTCAAGGTTATCCGCCTCCTGCCCCGCCCCCATCGTCAGATGATTGTTATTTATAGCTGTGTTTAAACATCCTGGGCAGCACAGAGAGTCACTGCACACTGGATTCATCAGCTAAGCCATGATTCTCAAAGATTAATGATTTGTTTTTGTTTTGTCCAGAAGGTAAAAGAATAATTTTTTTTCCTTTTAAATTATCTTCTGGCTTTAAGACAGGGTCTTATGCTGCAATCCCACTTGCCTTGGACTCATTGTGTAACCCCGGCAAGGTCCTTGAGATGGAGGAAATCCTCCTGCCTCATCCTCCTTAGTGCCGATGTTACAGGCATGCAATATCACTCCCAGCTGTTTTAAAAATTCACCAGTTCTCAGATTGAGTCATTTGGGTCACATTAGTTGAGACCAGATTAATCAAACCTAACTTTCAGACCCTTTGATTACTTTGAGACTCTACAGAGTACGAAAGCATTCTTGGTTTCTGCTGAGAGAATGACAGCCTGGTTAGCATAGTTCTGTATTGTTTATGATCTGGTCTACCTTATCCCACTGCCTGAATGTTAATGAGAGCTTCCTAGAAGTCATTCGTCAAAAAGTTAAGTCACAGCATCTAATTATTTGGCTGGCAAGATGTTCTAAGTACATATAATTATATCTTCCCTCCATTTTGTGAGGGTGGTGAGCCAAGTAACCTGCATCAGGAGAAAATAAACAACATATTAATGCTACTAGCAAGGAGTGCCTAGCTAGAACCCTCATTATATAACCTTAGCATATATAGTGGGCGTTTAGTACATCTCAGTCTGCCAAACTAACATCATCACGGTCTTTGCAGGTGAAAAAACTGTAAGATAAGGGATGCATGCTGGTCCTCTTGTGTATATCAGGAGCTGTATGAATCTGGCTAAGAACTTGTCAGTGTAACGTTCTCAAGCCTGACCACTGACCTTGGAGAAATCCCTTCCATTTCCATTTTGTGTGTCCCTGCTTGCTTCCTACTTTTTGAGACAGGACCAGCTCTCACCTGGGTCCAAGACAATGGCAAAGAATAAGAGAAGGCAGCACAGTGACTCTGTAATTTGGGGTTGTTCACTGCAAACCAGAGTCAGAATTAAGCTGGCATAACCTTTCCCCACTCTGGAAGAACAAGTGTGAAAGAAGACTTTTAGAAGAATAGATCTCAGGTACTTTCTTCGGGCACACTAGAGGGAGGTACCCAGGGAATGCAGAATTGGTTAAGCCAGTCCTCCTGGCCAAGCAGGTTGTCCTTGATACAGGAGGATTTTCAGCTCTGCCATTTGTAGATGGGGCCACTGAGGCCCTCTCTTAGCTCATAGGTCAGGGGGATGCCCTAGGAGCTGCGTCTTGCCCGGCATGTGTCAGGCTTGACTGCTCCCCACAATAGAGCTTAGATGATCAACCCTTGCCTTGCCCTTCATGGTTAACCATCCTTTGGCTTCTACACCTCTCAAACTCTGGGGAGAGTGACGTAGAACTTCAGCCCATTCCATCCATTTCCTGTGGTATTGTTGGGGAAATTCAAGCTCCATTAGGGCAGCAGCCGCCCTTGTTTGTCCACATGACCCCTCTGTCCTCTAGGCATAGGATCTGGTAAATAGTTGGCGCTCTGTGTAGCCAAGTATCCTTGTAAATGCAGGGACAGTGCAATGTGAAAAAGTTTCGCAAACCCCAAAGAGATTCAATAACCAGGTCAAGGGCCGAGTATCAGCTTCCTTTACTGTAGCTGCTTTTACTGGCGCCAGAACACAGCCAGGACCGATACGTTCACGTTCTACCGGCTTGTCCTCTAGAAAGGAGGCCAGGATCATTTCCAGTAGGCACAGGACTTGGAGAAAAGTGCACACCGGAACTGTGGAAGGCCACAGGAGAGGAAGCTACCTAGGCTCGGGACAAGGCCAGGATCGAAGGCCTGACCTCGGGTCCCGCCGTCACGCCGTGACAGGTGTCTGCTGGGGGTGTCAGGTGAGCGAGTGACACACCCCAAGCAGGTACACCTTCCTCCGCCTACGAATGACCTAATTACAGCAGCCTGCAGCGCCCGGAGGTGGGGGAAGGTCACTCCAGGCAGTCTGCCTCTAGGAGCTAGTTCTTGTCCTCAAAGACGTGGGACTCCCGTGCGGTTCCCAGAGCTTCTGGCGTACGCGCCTTAGGGTTGTGACTGTATCTGAGCCAACCAGATCTTGGTCTGGGCCAAGACCGTATCTGAGCGGTGTTACCCGACGGCCTTCCCCCAAGACCAGGGCACAGACACAGCCCTCGCCTTCCCGGACTGCTCATGCGCCGAGTCCGCGCAGGCGTCTTTCGGAGCCTGGGACTCCCGGATTAACCGGGTTCGCCGCTTCGAGCACTGCGCTTGCTCCAACCCCGTTCTTCCCCCTCCCCACCCCCCACCCCCGCCGCCCTCCCCGCGAGGACCACGCCCCGAAATCGAAGGCACTTCCTCCGGCATCCAGCTCCGCTGCGCCTGCGCCGGGCTCCACGGTACGGCGCTTTGGGTCCCGGCCCCGCTCCGACGCCCTCCCCGCGGCCCCCGACGCCGGCGTGACGTCACCACGCCGGGCGGCCGCCATTACAGAAAGCCTGGTCCCGAGCTAGGGCGAGCGGAGGAGGAGGCACCGCGGCCGGCGGCCCAGTACTGCGGAGCGAAGCCAGCGGGCCGACGCCAGCGCCTAGCAGCCGCCAGGGGCCGCAGGAAGCACCCCGGGGAGCGGCGGCGGCGTGTGCGTGTGGCCCGGGTGCGGGCGGCGGCGCGGGAGCAGCGCGGAGCGGCAGCCGGTTCGGGCGGGCGTCATCATGGACGAGAAGTTGTTCACCAAGGAGCTGGACCAGTGGATCGAGCAGCTGAACGAGTGCAAGCAGCTCTCCGAGTCCCAGGTCAAGAGCCTCTGCGAGAAGGTGAGCGGGGGTAGGCCCCAGGTGCGGCTCCTCAGGAGGCCGCGGGGACGGTGCAACATGGCGGCACGGAGGCCAGGCCCCCCGAACCTCGCACACCGGCGCCCGGCGCTGCCCGCGGGGACTCACAAGCGACCCGGCGCCCCCCGCCTCCCGTGCGCTGATTGGATGGCGCTGCCGCCGCGGCCTAAGATGGCGCCGCGCGCCGGGCTTCCGAGCCTCCCGGCCCTGCCCGACGCCGAAGAACAGGGCGGCCGGGGCCCTGCGTGGTCCGGCCAGGGACTGGCTCTGCTTTGGGAGCGGGACCTGGAGCTGCGGCGAGGTGGAGAAGAGGCTTTGTGCTTGCAGCCGGGCTTGCTTTGCTTCTTGGAGCTGGCGATGCCCACTGGTTCCCCCACAGGCGGGCTCTGAGGCCAGTCCGTGCCCAGCGCCTATGTGGAAAGGTCATCGCGTTCGGGTCGGCTTCCTCTGAGTTCTGTTTAAAGTGTGCGTTTAACGATTCCCAAACAAAAATAAAAGCCGCTAGCCCGATTTCTACAAAGGTCATGGTGGTAGTTATAAGGGAGGAGTATAAAGTTTTCATAGTTGAAAGAAATGGAGGATTTGGTGAGTCATACTATACGGAGAGCTTCGGGATTGGAAATCCAGTGGCATTTTAGTTTATGATGTATATGCTGACTCAAATTGAGTAGTGTGAGATCCTCTGTTTAACGTACTTGGCATGGTGCCATTTGTGTTTAGCATGAGCAACACAGACTGAAAGAGAACCAAATGTTGTGTTCTCTCTTGGTTGAGAGTTTCTTTCTTGTGTTTTGTGGCTACAAGTAGTGGTAGTGATCCCCGAGTTGACCGCCTGTGTTTCAGGCAGGGTGCTGAGTCGACACAGCCAAGTGGTGACTGACTACGCTTTGTATCTCAGGTTAGCTCGTTCCATTGGTTTTCTCCAAGAGTTGGGAGAGCAGGCTGCTAAGCTTTCGGTCGTGTGGTATTTTTCAAGTCTTATTAGTGCAGTTTTCTAGTATAAAATGTTCACTCTGTTTTGTGTTCGCTTTTCACGGTCACTTTAACATTTAATTTTAGTGCAAAAATAAGGATTATGTTAGTAATTTGTGTTAGGAAAAATTTTTGGAACGCTGTATGCTCACTCCTTTGTGGTTTGATGTAAAAAGGAGGTTTTTGCGTTTGATGAATATTTTCTGACGATACAGTTTTTCAGAAACTGCTGAGAATAATTGGGGCTTAAGACAGACGTGGGTTTATTTACCTCAGCTCTGTACAATGAACGCTTCCTTCCCTCCCAGGTAACCCTGGCTGCCCTGGTACTGGTTATATAGCCAGGGTAGCTTTGAACTTGTGGCAGTCCTTGTGTCTCAGCTTCCCAAGTGCTGGGATTGGTTACATGTGTGTGCTACACCAATCCAATATTTTGATTTTTATTTCTCTCAAATCAAATAAGGTGGTATTTTTAAGGTTTTGAAAATAAGTTTTGTTTGTTTTTTGAGACAGGGTTTATTTGTGTACCCCTTAGTTGTCCTGGAACTCTAGATCAGGCTGGTCTTGAATGCACAGAGATCCACCTGCCTCTGCACACACACACACACACACACACACACACACGTGCTGATTTTTAATGCAGCACCACCATTTCAGGGCTAGAAATAAACCTTTTAAAATTTACTTGTTGTACTCAAAAAACAAACAAACAAATCTAATATATTGTCAGGTCCTGGTTTCTGGTTGCTGACTCTGAACATTTTGAGTCAGCTAAATGGCAGTCGTTTGTATAGAAAGAGAAAGACTACTCATTAGGCTGGAACACCACTACTTTTTGTTCCCCAATTAAATGGTTGTAACTGGTTTTCAGAAATCCAGTTACTATAAAATAGTTAAAACATGTTCTGAGGTCACTTCTAATCTGATGGGATTGTGTCCTAAACCAGCACTTGTGTTTCTGAGTATCCAAGATTGCATGCTATTATGAAGAGAATCGGAAGTCAATGAGAAATAAATTATACATATCCTCAAGAAACTTTAATTTAGTTGGAAAAACTAGGATGATAATATCAACTTGACAGTGGATCTCAACCTTCTTAATGATACAACCCTTAAATGGAATTGTTCCTCATGTGTGACCCCCAACCATAAAATCATTTTTGTTGCTACTTCATAATTGTAATTTTGCTAGTTATGAATCGTATTGTAAATGTCCGCTATGCAGGACCCCTGTGAAAGGATCCTCAGCTCACAGGTCGAGAACTGCTGTTCTAGAGTCTGGGGAATTGTCTAGATCAGGTTGGCCTATGTACTTGGTTTAGGAGACCTTCATTATGTTAGATGAGAAGACACACCGACTGTAGGTGGCACCATTCTCAGATTGGGGGAGGGGGGTCCTCAATTGTATAAGCATAGAGGAAGCTCCCTATGGGAGAGGTCTCCAGTGATCTAGGTTTGACCCCTTAGGACCTACGTGGTAAAACACCTTACTCTTCTGACCTGTACAAACAAATAAATGTAATATTAAAAGTGTGAGGATGTATTCATTGCTCCCTTTCTTTTTATGTGATGTGAGTACCTCCCCTCAAGCTCCTGCCACTATGACATCCCTGCTGTGATGGACTGGAACTGAACCAAAATAACCTGTTTTCAAGCCAGGCAGGGTGGTGTGTCCCTTTAATCCCAGCACTCAGGAGGATCCCTGATCTACTGAGTGAGTTCAAGGACAGCAAGGGCTACACAGAGAAACCCTGTCTCAGGAAGGAAAAACAAAACTTTCTCCCCAAAGTTGTTTTTCTCAGGGTGTCTTTATAGCAGCAACAAGAAACTAAAGGAAGTATGGACTGAGTGGGTTTGCTTTGGAGAGCCTGTTCAAGATAGTAGGTAGAGAGGTGGGGTGGGTGAGGGCTGCAGCTTAATGGATCCAGTATGTTTTTCACATCTTGGTGAAACTCAGATGTGAGGCTAGCCGGCTTAGTTTTTTTCTCAACATGTGCAGATTTTAGGGTTTTAATGTTTGTGTGTCTTACGTATGCGAATGTGTGTGGAGGTGTCCATGGAGGCCAGAGAGGTGTTGATTCCCTGGAGTCTGGTTATTTGATCCACTGGACTAAGGTGCTGGGAGCCCAGCTTCAGTCCCCTACAAGAGCAGCATGGACTTTTAACTCTTAACCATTGAGTTCTCTCAGTAGTCCAAAGTTTTAATTTTAGAGCCACATGGTAGTTGCGTGCCTTTAATCCCAGCACTCAGGAGCAGAGGCAAGCTGCCTCTACAGAGCCAGTTCCAGGACAGCTAGGGCTACACAAAGAAACCCTGTCTCAAAACACCTAAAATTAATAATAATACTTTAGCGAAGTGGTGGTGGCACGTGCTTTTAAAATCCCAGCACTCAGGAAGCAGAAGCAAGTTGATCTCTTTGCCTTTGCGGCCATCTTGGCCTACAGAGCTAGCTCCAAGAAAGCCAATGACTACACAGAGAAACCCTGTCTTGACAAACCAGCGGCAAAAAAAAAACTTGATTGGTGGTACATGCCTTTAATCCCAGCACTGGGGAAGCAGAGGCCAGCCGGAATTACAGGGTGGAACCTTATCTCCAAAAAGGTGGGGGTGGAGGGGCTAAAATGAAAATGATAGTTCTTGAACCTATTTCAAAGTTTCCTTGAAGCTGGGCAGTGGTGGCACTCATCCCAGCACTCAGGAGGCAGAGGCAGGATCTCTGGGAGTTCAAGGACAGGCTCCAAAGCTACAGAGAAACCCTGTCTCGAAACAAAACAAAAAAAAAGGCTTCTTGAAATTGAAATAGATACTTTTGATGAATGCTGTTGCCTAACTTGCTTGATTTGGATTGTATTTCAACTTTTGTAATGATGTAAATCTCCTAAACAATCCTAAGATGTTTTAGACGGGGAGATGCATGTCTTGGTATACTTTGTACAAGTCCTAGTAAAACAGAACAGGTAATGTTTTATTGCCAATTCTATCTCTAGGTGAAAACTACGTTTGATTTTGTTGTGTTTGCCTTCTAAATATTACTTGTTCATTTATTTTGTTTCATTTGCAAGACAACTGTTCCTGTGCCTATGCCAACCTCAGACTCAACATCTTCTCGCTTCAGTCTCCCAAATGTTAGGATTACAGATATATAGTGTAGATACGTGTGCCACCATATCCAGCTTTAACAGAAAATTTGAAAATAAGCTACATTTTCTGTCAGTTTAGTCATGCTTGTTAAAGAACTACACCCATCAAAAACAGCTATTGATGATCTCATAAAAAGGAATGATAGCCTCAAAGTCCTTCCCCCTTTCGTGAAGATAAAGCTAAACCCCAGTGGTCACTCCAATTAACCAGCTTGAGAGCTCTCTTCTGTTACCTTGTCACAATAGCAGTGTTGCTTCAAAGCAGAAAGGATCCAGATGTGTATCATAACAGTGGGGAGCATCTAAGCATACTGTGTGTTCAAGTATATATATATGTGCCTTGCTGTTTGAAGGAGTTTGGTGTTTGGGGTGAGCATATGCAGTTTCATTTTAGGCACAGTTCCATCAACAGATTAAAAAAAGTAAATACTATCTACTTGCTGTGTGTGGTCGTGCATGCCTGTAATCCTAGCACTCTGAAAGCTGATGCAGGAGGATGGCCACAAGCCAGAGGCAGGTAGACTTAGGTGAGTTTGAGGACGACCTAGACTACATAGTGTGCTCTAGGTCAGCCAGGACTGTACAGTGAGGCCCTGCCGCAAAAATAAATAAGCCCAGCACTTGGGGAACAGGCAAGCGGATCTCTGAGTTTGAGGCTGGCCAGAGCTATATTAGAAAGATTCTGTCCCAAATAAATAAGTAAATAAAGTATCAGTTTGCTTTTGGACTAACTACAATAAAAATGGCCTTTTACTATATGACTTAAGCAGTGTCTTGGGGTCGGGTGCCAGTTTTGGCTTTATGCTTTCAAGACTTCTGAATTGATGTTTTTAGTTTCTTCCCCCAAAGGAGTTCTTGACCTAGGCATG